CCTATGTTGAACGTACGTAATTTAATTCTATTATATAATAGGACCTGAGGCAGTAAAAGGGATCGAACTGCAAGTACAAGATTCACTCGTGCTTTGAAACTGATAGTATCGGAAATTTCTATTTTTGCCAATTTAGCGCTAAAGTAGGTTCTTTTAAGTAGGAGCTAAAGTACATTTTTAGAATTAGAGATTCAAGGGGGGAGTAAAAAAATATAATGTCATCAAAGTAGGTTATCGCTTGCCTATGTAGGTGTATAGATCAGCTAAGTAGGTGTAAATTATCCTTAAAAGTGTCAAAATTTCGACTCGGGTGTCGGTCGGAGAAAACTGTGTTCGAAGGCACGTCCATCCGACGCAACGACCTTGAAAAGGATCACAATCCGGATGGTCGAAACGTCGGAATAAATTGTTAAATTAAACCACCTTAGCCAGTTGACGTCGTTAAACAATAATTTAATATGTTCATACTGTAGTCTTAGAACGCGATCCTCCTGCAATCGTTAATAATTCTCGCGGCAGCTAACTAGATCCATCCTTAAGACTAAACCGACGGTGCGAGTCCCTTCGCGAGTACAACGTAGTCATTGTTACACGCGCTCTTTCCCCTCCCGCTCCGCGTACGTATAACCCGCAGCACCACGCCGCACGAAAAATTTTATCTCAACTGGGAAGCGCGAGTATCGCGCGAGTTGTTTCGCTCGAAAGGGTACAAAGGCAATCTCGCTTGGGCGAGGCATCATCGCGAAGGATCATCGCGAGAACGAGCAGGAATAAGATGCGTCTTCAGACCTTTGATCCGCGTGCGTGCGTGCCTGCGTGCGTGCGTGCGTGCGTGATGCGAGCGCGCGCGTTTAAGTAAACCCGCGCGATGAGTTATAGCGCACGGAAATAAGAGCAAATAAGGGTGGGCGAGGGGCAACTGCCCGACACGAGGAGCCAAAGGGGGTTGGCTGTATCTCGTTGTAAATTACTCTTATCATGCGCGTCTCGCGCGGTTGACGTCCTGACGGCCGGGCAGGAACGCGCTGCCGCCGGATTGAAATGTCCCTTACGCTTCTTTATCGCGGCTGCGGCGACCTGTGTGAATTCCGGCCGATACGTCCGATGGTATCTCGAGATGCGAGGGAGATGATCTTCCGTCTCTGTGCATCTTTCACGCGATTTGCTTCGAAAAGACAGACAGAACCCGAGTCGAAATTTTGGTCCTATGTCGAACCTTTAATTCTATTATATGTATATTGTAGTAGGGCCTAAAACAATAAAAGAGGTCGAACTGCAGGTACAAAATTTACTCCTACTTTAAAACTGATAGTATCGGAAATTTCTGCTTTTGCCAATTTAGCATTAAAGTAGGTCCTTTTAAGTAGGGGCTAAAGTAAATTTTTTAAATTAAAGATTCAAGGGAGGAGTAAAAAATATATAATGTCATCAAAGTAGGTTATTGCTGGGGTCTATGTAGGTGTAAATTATCCTTAAAAGTGTCAAAATAATACCAAAATTTCGACTCGAGGAAACGCATACTTTACGTCAGCTGAATGGGCTCCGGCGTATCCCTTTCTGTATGTCTCGGCGCTCGTTCAATTTGTTTTAAGAAATTAATTGAATTTATAGATTTGTACGTTACGACATATTGGATTTGCATATATGATAATTACATGGTCTTACGTTCGAAAGGACGCAATGTAATTCCCGTCTAATTAAATGTAATCCCTGTGACGAAGGTGATTAGGCCGAGAGAACGCCTTCGCGATTGTCGTATTAAAGTCGTCTTATTTCTACGCGAAGGCGAACGGGAGTCGTTGGCACACTGCGAGTGACATTAATCTGCTTGAGCGGCGCCGATATGTCACTACAAGCTTAATACTCCTGCAATGTTACATAATTATTCTTACGGGGCTTCTCGATGAGAGAAAGCCTTTTTCTTCGTCATCATAAACTGTACGTGTTTCGAGATAGTCTCGCATATTATTATTTTAATTGTAATCATGTTACTGCCAATATTACTTTTTATGTACGATATTATTTCAATAAACGAATGTTTGACGTAATGGATTTCATTAATTTCCAATTCCTATTATAAAACTTAATTCATTTGCACACGCAACATCTGAAACATTACACAGGGTGTTTCCTAACAAATTGTGTTCACGATATTAGAACTTGGTCTAAGTTCTAGTTCCGAGAAATGTGTAGCCAATCAACTTGCAGCTTTAATGGAATAGTACTGCGAGTTGATTGACTACATATTTCTCGATACTAGAACTTGGACCAAGTTCTAGCATCGTGAACACAGGCCTTAGGTAATGTCGAAAACTCCAGGAAACGATTCCTTGGGCGACCTTAGAAGAAACAGTTCCAATGGACGTGAAGCCCAAAATCGCCGTTTCCCTGTAGAGTTACGCGTATTGCGAATAGTATTGAAAAAAATCGACAGTTCTGTTGCGCAGATCGTAAACTTAATTAGTCCGAAGAAAAACAAAAGAATTCTTTGATTACCTTGCGTAATTTTCTATTAAGGTGAAGTGTACGAGCCTCGAGTGGCAAATGAGGAATATTTTCTTTTATTTTTAGAAACGGACTGTATTACTTGATAATATTTTTATGCGTTTTGCGTCGCACACTAAGGAAAAAGGATCCGACTCGAAATGTAGATAAAGGTACGCGCATCGGCAAAAGTGTGCGTTTATGGCACATCTCGAGAATGCGCTCGGTGTACACTTGCGCCCACCCCGACGCACTTTTCCACGCACGATTACCGATCTTCACGCATACACGCCCCAGATTTGCGCAGACGGACTGCGAGCAGAATCGCTAATCTACGGCGAACGACAGAGCAAAATGAAAATTTCACGCTGCGCACGAAAAAAAAATGCGCAACTATCTTTACGAGAATGACGACACAACGAAGTCCTTCTTATCGTAGTTGACTCAACAATGTTGACTATTACTTAAGTGTGCCAGAAAATGCTAAAGGAAATGCAAATAATAAAAAATTACGACGACTTTCAACTTGGTCAGAACAAAAGAAATCGCCGTCCGGCGAGATACACGCACGAGAGCGACGGTAGGGTTGTCGCAGGATATCGCGCGTGTCCAACCGGGAAATTGAATGAATTAGATGACGACGACGAAGAAGATGACGGTGATTAAAATATGCGTTCTGGCGCGCGTCAACACCGAGATCTACGCCCAGGCCACCCTGCGAGCGAGCGTTTTCCACGCGCGATTACGGGATCGTCGCGGGAGAGCACCGGGGGCCGGTTTAAACACCCATCACTTTTTGCACCACCGTCGGGATGCACCGAACCCGCGGGATGCACTGTACGCAAACTCGTAACTTTGCGGCGACGCCGGTGTCGCCGGTGGTACGCGAATCGTGCCTGCCGTAATAAAATTGATTAATCTCGCGTTCGTGTAATCGAGATGATTATTGGACGTCACCGCGCGGATGTTTATTCATGCCAAGTAATTTACCACGTCAACCTGTACTCGATCAATTTGTACATTTTTTTTCCTGAGGGAAAAGCGCGTTTAAAACACGGAGATAATTAGAGAAATGTAACAATAGACAAATGTGCTGCGCGCATAGGAAAAAAGTTGAATAATTTGCAATTTTATGGCTTGGTACACTTAAATAAAATCTGTTCAAATTGTATAAAGCTAAACGAATCAACATTTCAATAGAAACCCGACTTGAGAAAGTTAATTTCCCGAAAGCTTTCTCTCAGAGGGGAAAATATTAGTTGTAGTCTGATTTTCCCGCAAGACTGTTAGAGTGGCGAGCAGAAATATGCAAAGATAAACCGCGCAATATCAGCGGGTACACTTTTAACATATGGAAGTATCCCTCTACGCGATTCAATATTTGTGGTATTTATCAGTGTAAATGTTAACACGAAACGTTAGCGCAGGCTCTAAAATGCCTTTCTTGCGAGATTAGGCAAGTCTCCAAACACGGGAGATCCTCCTCCGTGCTCGACAACTTTCGTACCGACATTACACACATTTTCGAACCGCGAATACAAGTTTGAGTCTCTTTAAACTACGTGTACAATTACATTATTATGCTCGAAACGGATAAGAGAGGATCGCGTGCGGACAAGTTTTAGATCCTGAAAAACTGTCCGCGGAAAATTGTATCTTGATCGATAAACGCTTGCGATTATAAATAGAATAGAATCTAGTCAGGGTACACTATAGCATTGCATAAGTACGGCGGTCTTCCCAAGCCTATCCTCTCTCGAACGTTGATTACGATTTATTGCGTCGCTGTTAGTATCGCGCGAAACTTCGTGCGATGCTCGGTTAATGAGCCACATCCGTGCTCTTCGAGTTCCTCTTCTCGTCGAGGGTCGAAGGTCGGGAGTCTAATCGACATGAGGAGGTAACCGGCTAAGGAGGAACCGCTCCGCAAACTACGAACGAAAATCATAACGAGTAACTAATACGGTTGTCAACAAGACTCGCATTGTAACACGTACGATTGGGTAATTCGAGAAGAACGTAACACGCCTTGGAAAAGCACATATTCTATCCTCTCTGCGTCTCGCTCCATCGAGCCATCGATCAATCGCGCCGATTAAAATTCAAGTAATCTCCTCTTAATTGCGACGCGAGATAGTTCGAACCGAATGACGAATCAGGGGCGTGGAAACGCTTAATGATATTGCATCACGACGATGCAAGTGATTAATCCGCTTTAGCAGGAAATTAGTCAGAAGATCTCTATGCGGTGCTCTTGGTTATTTATGTGCCGGCAGCAGAGCTTGGCTATTATAAAATCAATTTTTCTTTCGAACGCCGACAGAAATTTGTTAATTCTCTCCCTCTCTAAAACATTAAATCGCAGAGGCTAATCCAAGTATTAATAACTTGCCTGCGTCAATTAACGCGCAACCGCCTCTCCTTCGACAAAAACGATGAATTAATCGAATAATTGAAATTAGTCGCAATGACCGAAGCCAGACATCGTCGGAGCTCAGCGAGGCATCTCTACTCACCGTACTTGAGTCCTCGCCACTTGGTGGCCGGCTCGTAGTACCTGTAACTAGGAAGCACGATTCTGGGCGGCGGCCGCGGCGGCTGCGAAGGACAAGGCTTGTAGACGACCATGCACCGTACGCATGGTTTCCGGTTTGTGGGTGGAGCCGCCGGATATGCCGGTTGAATGTGCACGTAGGCCATGGGGGTGGCCGATTGCGCGGCATAATAATTCGCGTATCGTTTTCGCCGATCACCGTTCGCCGTCTCGCCGAGTCGATCCGCTTTCTGAATCACAGCCAATCCCGTCTCGCCGGTCGTTCCTCCTCGCGCATCCCTTCCGCGCCGATCCACGGCTCGGCTTCTCTTCCTCGAGAAACCGTTGTGCGACGTGTTGCGATTGTCCTGCGAGAAAGTCGGCCGGTACTCCGGGACGAAGGCTCTATTGCCGATACCGCGATCCTGACTGGTCCATACAAAATTGCTCGTGGCCATCAGATCCTTCAGATCCTCGCCGCGCGTCACTTTGCGTCTCTTGTTGTCCGGTGGAATGATGGAATCCAGAAATTGGAAGGCGTCCGTATCATCCGCAGATTGTTCATCATTATTTTCATCTCGCGCTTCACCACCGACACTGCTGTTTAGATCCTCTGAAAAAATATTCTGCGATCTGTCGCCCTTATGGGTCGGAACGTCGGTCCCTTCATCGTCGTACTTATTAATATTCTTGTCATCTTGTTTGTTGCTATCAATTATCGATTTTTCGAGCATTTCCTCACGACGAGTACCGTTACCGCGTCCTCGAAAATTCCGCGATCGGTTCGAAGTTCGCGCAAACCAATCACGGCTCGTCTCACGTCTCTTCCTAGCAGGATCTCCGCGATCCCGTTCTGCCGGCCAATTTTTACGATCGTGGATCGCCTCCGCGGGGCTCATCGCGGAAGATTGAACTCGCTCGCGATCCTCGCGAAAAAAAAGGAGCTGGTCCTCCTGCATTCCTGCAGCGAATTGCCGCGCATCCCCTTCCGCGGTATTTCGTTCCAAGGATCCAAGAATCGTAGCTCGTTTTCCGGACGAGGCACGGGAGGTCTCACCGGCCCCGCTCGGTCTTCCGATGTCCCTGTCGTTGATTACAGATCGGGAAGATGCGGGAGTAATTTCCTCTTTCATTTCCATAATCGCGCCTGTGGTCTGCAAGATGTGCGGATCGAAGGTTTTATACCGATCGCCTAATCGCGCGTTCTTCTCACCCACCTCGAGAATTCCTTCTCGATCGCCTGATGACTTCGACGTCGATGCGCCGATCTTCGGAACACGATGATTACCAATCCTCTTTGAGTTCTGAATATGACGAAGCATCAATGTCGAGGAGCGGAGATAGTTATCGACGTTAATACTCGCCTCCCGCGATCTAGGAGCTCGCGCGTTTCTATCCCCGACACGGGTCCTCAATCCCCATCCATCCTCCACCTTTGATTTTAATCTTGATCCCGTCTCTACCGCGATATCTTTCTCAAATCTATCGTTACGTAACGTCGGGGAAGTTACAATGTCGATCACCGTTCGATCACCGCCCTTTTTGTAACGCTGTCCTTCCCGCTCGATGAGCCTTCCCGGTTTATTCTCGTCCGATGGTCGAGCCTCGGTATTCAAATGCGCGTCGGTTCGCATAATTACGGGGTGTTGATCCCGCTTCGAGGATTCATCCGACGTACTTCCGTCTTCGTTCACGTGGAGACTCTGTCGGGACAGTCCCTCACCGTCGATTTTACGATCGTCGACGTTGATCGACGCCGACACCCGTTGCTTCTCATAGACCACGTTCGTTTCCGCGGACATCTCCTCGGTCATCGGTCCGTCGTCGCGCGGACCCAGTCGCGTGCTCCTCTTCCATCGCCCGTCACCTTCGATCTCTCGCTGCTCGAGGATGATCCCGTCCGTCGAGGCATAAGTCGCACCTTCCTTCGCCGCCGATCGCTCGAGGACGGCAGAACCGTCGCCGTTCGACTCGTCGAGCGGAATCGAGCTCGCGGAGCCGCCGCCTCCCGTCCAAATTATCGACTCGATCCATTGCGGACCTGACAGCAGAAGGGCACCTGCTCCGAGGGCCAGCACGCCCCAGGCCCAGAATAATTTTCCGGGGTACATTTCTACCCCATAGTCAGTAGGAAAGCTGTCTTGCCCCGCGCGACGCTTGTCATGGCGATTGCATCTTTTCTCGAATGATGCCTTGTGGACACTCAATCGGTGATAACGGTAAATGTTTTTGAGACGGGTTTCCAATTAAGTTTAAACGACGATTCGGCAAGTATCAATGACCGGCAACTTTTTTGCGTCACCGCAAAGTTTGTAAGAATCGATAGTGTAATTTCTGTGACGTTTTATAAGGCTGTTATGTAACGTCGACTTTTAAAGCTGGATGATGCGGGATTGAAAGAACTGGAACATTGGCACCGCCCAGGATGATTCTCGAATACTTTTCATGCCGCGGTTAACTACGCAACTTTTTTACGCAATGACTTGCGATATTTTTATAATCTTCTTAAACGTTACTTTTAATTTGTACAAAGTATTATAATTTCGCGCACATTTAATACGTTACGCATACCGTTATCTCCCAGACGGAAAATTAATTTACAATAAGATTTGGTTGTACCAAAGTTGTCTAACAGTTTTAATTTTGTGCAGATTCAGAGAGAGACAAAAAATTATTTTCATAACAAGCACTTTAGCAAACTATCCGAGTTCGCTGTTCGATTTTAGAGAAAGTCGGTGACAACCTCGCGAAACGCCCGATGAATCACTCACACTCCAGGCTAACACTCGTTCTTGTCGGCGTAATCCTTCCGCGTCGATTTCATATTCACAAATTCCTACCTCCCTGCAGCACCTTCGTCAAAGTTAGTCGTAGCCTAAAATCCTAGCTACAGTTGCTCCGCAACGAGCCCGCCGGGGAGGCACGTTAGCATAAAACCGATTCATCTAAACTTTACGAAGTTGGATTTCTCGCACCTAGAAACTCGCGTTAGATAACTCGCTTGCGCGTATGCGAAAGAATTCTCAACAATGGCTAAGGCAATCGCGGAAATCTCGGGGCACGAGGCAACTATGCGCGCAATACCGCGGAGTATTCTTTGACGGGCGATCTTACGTATGATTCTAAGCGATTAGATCTCACTTTGCCATTTTTCGGGCCTCGAGGAGGGACCGGAAAGCGAGCGCACGTGGAATCACGAAGAGGTGAGCGTGTGTTCCGGCCTCGAGCGCGGCTCGCGAGACACTGGCTTGATACCATTACCATTAGCTTGGCTGTGGTTCTCTCTCTCTCTCTCTCTCTCTTTCTCTCTCTCTCTCTCTCTCTCTCTCTCTCCTCCTTCCCCGCGCTGCTCAGTGTTGCCTCTTCTTCATCTCCTTCTTCTTCCGCGCCGACATTCATGTTTTCTCCCTCCTCTTTTTCAGGAGAAGACCGAATCTCCGTGTTTACTATGCCGCGCACGTGGGTGTGCGGGTATTCGAGCGGTTTCGGAGCATTGATATCAGGCGAGCCCTCTCCGTCGAGTACTCGAGAGTTCCTTCGGTACCTACGTCGTATCGATGATATTGCATTCGCGTCGCTCGGTGCCTTTACGATAACGTGAAATCCTACAAATACGCAAGCACTTGAATCGCTAAACTATAAACTCACCTTGACTTTTCCGACTGTATCTAAGCGCGCGATATTGCGATTGAGCAACAAACCATTTCTTTGATACTAGACATTCGAGTAATTACATTGCGCAAAATTACTGAATGCACAAGCAGTAACGTTCTTCTCTCATCGCACGTCAGTTATATGCGTTATCTAGACCTACATCGATAAGAATATCTCGTCTGGTTTGCTGCTCTTTTGCCTCTCGAATATCTCGCGCGATTATTATTCATATGTTTTCCGTGCATTTTTCTGCTACATAAGCTTGAAAAACGCACTGGAAAATGCAACAATTAACTCTGCGAAAAACGTAAAAATAATCGCGAGCTCGTGACTCCTAAAAAGTCTACATGCATACGTCGTGCGGAATGATTTAAATGACGGAAGTTGCGTACTCATTGTTACATCAAGAAAGACGGTGTATTGTCATAAGAAGACAATGCGCGATTTTAAGAATAGCGCTCGCAACAGCGACAAAAAATGAAATGTCAAGTCCCGATGTCGCGGACGATGACAGATGCCGGAAATTTATAATTCATTTGTCACGCGCGCACTCCGAGTTTTAAAAGGCACTCTAAAGATCAAAGCCCTTATTCGCCAGGCTGAGAAACGCGAAAAAGAAATTAACAAACACTCGGAGGGGAATAAAAATTCTCGTAAAAGTTGTAACGCGCACTCGCGCTCGATGACCCGTAGAGATCGAGTACGTTTCAATCGCACGTCATTTTCCGCGTTATGCAATTTCGACACGCTCGTAGACTGAGAAACGTGACGTCTATTAGCATTGCCCTTTCAGCAACTAGTGGCAGACAGCGACGGAAGTTTACATATCACGTATAGACAGTAGTCCAAGTTATTGCTGAAAATTACCCCTTAACCTTTTATCTCTCCGACGCCAAATAAAAAATATTCGCATTACTTGCTTTCGAACTAGAATAAAGCATTAAATTGAACTGAATGAAAGTAATCAAAGTTAGATCTAGGCGCGTTTTGTACAAAATTTTTGTATATAAATTTCCAAAATTGATAGGAAAAAATGGCTCGCGTGGACTACGATGATAATTGACCGCAAATAATTAAACTAGATATGTAATGTGGCTATAAAAGTGCAGTATCCGCATGGGCCACCTGTACGCGATACGGGGAGCCTTTCCGGGACGTATATGCGCGTGCCGTGCACCTGTTATTTCTCCGCACACCATGGATGATACAAAGCGACCGCTCTTCTTGCTAATTGAACACCGGAAAGTCGCGCGTCGTGCATACAAGTGCACCCCGGTGGGTGTTTCATCGTGGGCACGAGTTTTATGAACTTATCACAGGTGGTCCCTTCGGCCACGCGTGTCCGCCTGTGCATACAACAAGGCTGTGCCATAGCACGTGCCGCGGAGAACAAGCCTCTGCTTGCAAAGATTGATTTGGTGTTGGGGAGATAAAAGTTTTTAACGTATCTTCGAGTCAGGATCAGAAGTTGCACACTCGAGTGACTTGAATCAGGGAACATTTGTGAACTGAAAAGCGCACTTACGAGGATTAAATCAACTAAAGAATGTAATTTAGAGATTGAGATCTCCGAATAGCACAAAAATGATTAGTGAATTTCTACGGAATGCTGCTCTCAGTAAGCAGGCGGAATTCGCTATCAGCGTCGACTTCTTAATTAAGATTAAGAAAGTTAATATATCCATTCCATATTTTTACGTATCTCACGCACCTTTTCCAAATCGTATCTGTTATTTATTGCGCAAGTATTAATAATCACGGGCTACCATGCGCTACCGCGCCCGTTTCTTCTTTTTTCTTTCTTTCCCCGCTCAGACACTCGCCGAAGGTTTCAGCTCAGACCACCTACGGCTGCTCGCCGAACGCACGCGCTCCCGTAGCTTCGTTTTATGCTCGCTATCACACGCCCGATGTTGCGCAACGTCGCGTTATTATGAGAGAGCTATTTTTATGGTGGATTAGAGAGAGGTATGCGATTACACAGAGCCCTCGCGTACGCGCGCGCGCGTCGTGAGTCGTGAAATTCACGGTGCCTTTATGGGACGGATTCCTTCGTGGGACTCGTGAGTCCCTCGGAGTACGATGTCATCGATCTCAGTTTGTTCACGACAAACACGGCTGTCTTCTCACGGGGCCCTGGCGTTAACAAGCACCGCGTTTCGATACGTGTAAACGCACGAGCGGACCAACCAACCGTTTGCGCTCCTCGATCCGTGATGCACGTAGCGAAGCGTCACGAGAATTCACTGACGAAACGCTACTCGATTAAATTCCGGACGTAATCAACAATTTTAGAATTGCATCGTGCTTGAATAATTAAATTGCGTTACAATTATAATTAACCGACAAGAATATCCTTCAATGTCGCCAGCAGTAATTAACAACTACGGTGTTTTCTTAACCATATCTGGCATTTTTCAATAATACAGAAAATTTATTGCGAAAAATATTACCTCAGCCCAGGATTTGAATCTGGACATTCCTACTCTCTAGGCGCGTAGATATCATCTTTATACTGTTATTGCGATAAATATTACCGCATGCCTCAGTGGTCGAATTGGTGAGACGTCCGCCTAGAAAGTCCAGGTTCAAACCCTGGCTAAGGTAATCTTTTTCGCAATAAACTTTCTGTATTATTAAAAAAGCCAGAAGTTGTTAATTAAAATTAAATTGAACTTTTTTAATTCGTTCACGTACGATTGGCGTGTCCACGAAAAATGTTAATGCGCTTTCAAATAATTTCTAAAATAAGAAACATATTTATCGTCATTATATTAAACGCCGTTAAATGGTGATTATGCAATTATATACATTGTAGGGTACAGCTTCGTGCGCGTGGCATTTATCTACGAAAAATTGCCGCGTCACACATTCTTTCATAATAATTTCCGACGGGAAAAATTCTCGGCTCTTCTTGCCGCGGCATCGTCGTGATTAATAATCTTCGCCATCAGTGAGACAGGAACATATCTCTTCATAATCATAATGACAAGTTCAGCGATCGTACCGACTATTCGAAAAAGATAATTCACTTGATATCGCAATTTCGCTTTTTCATTTTCGCTCGTAGTAAGATTAATCTCGCGCGCGGCGTGGCACAGCGCGACAGCCTCGTTTAATCGACGCGCGATGATTAATAATAAAATAATAATCGGTAGCGCTTATTCTCGCGCGAAACATCGTGTTTTTCACCCTTTTACGCAATACAACCACTATCTCGTAGCAACCAATACTCGACATTTGTACGCAGACATTCATATCTTCTACCTTTTTATAAAATAATCGTAATAAAAGATAAAAATACAGAGGAACAGAGAGAAATGTATTGAATACATTTCGCAAAATATATGTGTATTTAAACAATGATTACTACTCAAGGCTTGGGTAAATCCTGTTTTTTTTTTGGAATGAAAATTAGATTTGACATCTAATTTCTAATCCAAATTTAAGATATTCA